AAAAGTTCGGGTCTGAGCCGGGAAGTGAATTGTTTCCGGGTCGATAAACATCGGGCCTGAGCCGGGAAACGTTTTTCGGGTTGGTTAAAAATTGGTCTCCATGGAAGTTATCCTTTTCCGGGTCGGTAAATCTCCAAAACAATCGGGCACGAGGGTGCTGCTCTCTTGGAAAGAACTGCCAATCACTATGAACTATTACTTCAAAAAAACTCAGCATTCCGTTCCCCCACCCTTCCATGCTGCAGAAAAACGGACGGCATTTCGTTATCGGCGAGGGGTGTGGCAAATTCAGCACACCCTCCGATGCTGCAAAAAAAAGGGCAGCATTCCGTTCCCCGACGAGGGGTGTGACGATTCGTCACACCCCTCGTCGGGGAACGAAATGCTGCCAGTTTATTTGCAGCATCGGAGGATGTGACGAATTCGTCGCACCCTCCGATGCCGCAAAAAAACGGGCAGCATTNNATTCCCTGGACGGCTCCCCGGTGCCTTGCGGACCGGCGCGAAGCGTCATCGGAGGCGGCGGGTTACTGATGACCCCGCCATTAAGCCCTGTACAGTCGGGCACCTCCTCAGCTTCGCTGGACCGTTGTGCCACAACCCAGAGTCTCACCCACTCGGGGGATCATTGACTCTGGGCCACGGCTCAACGTGCCCACTAGCCCTTTTGCAAAAAATGCGAGAGCTACAGCAAAGGCTGGGGGCTGGAGGCGGGCAGGCTGGGGGCATGGGCAGGGGCAGGGCTGGCTGGGGTGTGGGGTCTGGGTTACGGGTTTGAGGCTGAGGCTTGGGCTCAGAGTTTGGGCGGGGCAGGCCGAGCTGGGGCGGGGGGGGGGGGGGGGGGCGGCTACACGCTCGAGTGGGTCGTCAGGAAAAAGTATATAGTACCTTCTCACAGAAAGATCAGATCAGATCAACAAGAACAGTTTCATAGGAGTGAACAGTGGACAATTAATCGAAACGGTGATTCGTGACTGTCGTGTTTCATCGCACCATTGTAATTGTTGCAGGAGCCGGGCCCCTTGGTGCAAGAAAGTCGAAGGCGGAGGAGACGCCCGCAGCCAAAGAGTTGAAGACGAAATATGGGATGAAACTTTTTGGTCGTTACATGCAGATTTTGGACAACGTTGACAATTGGGAGCTGCTCGCGCCCTGCTGCATGCCGGATCACAAGGCAACAGGAACTAACGAGGTTTCGTTTCATCGATCATCATCAGCCAGCCAGCCAGTTGAATTTTTCAGTGTGATGCAAACTAATAGATAATCCTGAGCCTTCAGTCATATTGTTTGGTTGTGTCTTTTGGCTTGTGGAATTCTGCATCCGAGACAGGCTTGCAAGACACCGCTTGGACACGTACGAGACTTGCAAGCGAAGGGTGCTGCTGATGGCACTCCTTTACCAATTATTCTGTACGCTGCGGGAACAGTCTGTGTGGATGTGTCTGTGATCGGCTGCTGGGACTTGTAGATTTTCTAGATGGTTAGATGATAGATGTGGTGCTTAAGCTGCGTCAACACCACATAACTCATGACAGGAGCCCAAATGGGACTGCTTGGAAAGAGCAGTCGATCCCTAGCGCTGTGGCTGACGGAGGTGAAACTGGTCAAACCAGATGTTATACTCCACGAGTGCACCGTTAAATTCAACTCAGAGTTGCTTTGGCAACATCTGGCTGATTATGACATCGTGCATATGAAGCTCTCTCCCGTCGATTTTGGTTGGCCAGCTCAACGACCAAGGCTGGTTTGTCGTGAGACAGTGAGAGAGGGGGAAGTGGCAGTGGCAGTGTGTCGGTCGTGTGATGTTGGTAAAGTGTTTGTGCTTTGTGAGGTGAGGTGTCAAAGCTTTAGCCACAACAGTCTTCAGTCCTGAGCCTGAGTCCTGGGCCTGAGCGGCCTGAGTCCTGAGTAGTTGTTTCTGCAAGGCTGTTCACAGTCATGCTGCGCAAAGAGACCGTGTCGATCAATGGTGGGGTCGATCGCTTCCTGCAAATGTTGCAATCTTTGATGATGCGACCAACTGCGGACGTGGGCATCTTCTACTGTGCCCCGCAGGAGAGCAATAGTGTAAGCAATGCAGTGCAGTCCGGTCTTAGTTTCCGAGTGTGGCTGCAGCTGAGGCTGAGGTGTCATTGTTATTATTGTTTTGCAGTCCACTTGTTGGCAGGAAAGCATCGATGCACATCGGGCAGCCGGAGCTCTGAAGCGGTCGAAGCCAAGAAAGAGCGCTTTCAAAGATTTGCTCGGAGGCAGAGGGCTCAATTCGTTTGAGACTTTAAAAGCTTTCATGTCAGGGCGAGGCAATGCATCATTATCTTTCAGTGGTTCTTCCTTTTCATTTCAATCGAAACAGGCGAAACACAGCACGAAGAATTTCGGACTTCCGGGTCAGAAGTCAGCCCCATCCCATCCTCATTCGATTGTCCTGACCTGGCTGGGATCAAGTTCAGCAAATGTTGCGCTTACAGTTGCAGGAGCCAAGCAGACGTGGTTGGAATGCTACAGGAACTTGAAGAAGGTTCGCCAGATTTGGGCGAAAGGCCAGTGTACAACCGACCACTTATATATTACTTCCAACTAGTTCAACTAGTTATAGTTATATTGTTTAAGCTGCCTTCGCCATCGTCTGCCTTAGTGCCGATTCGTGCCTAGGGATTTGTCATGATTTGATGTCAAGTCTGGCAGGCTCTCGATATGCTGTGTGCAATCTAGCACAAAATCCACGCATCATGCCGGTTGTGTCGGACAAGATGCCGACGCTATTGCGCACCGCTTCCAACATGTGGCTCATGGATTTGTCTCCGCAGGAGCAGGGCCAACAAATGCCAACGTCCAGCAAAGATGCTCCAACCGTCGGGCTCGAGGAGAGACACCTGCTTTCCGATGAAGCATTGGTATTGATGGGAATACCCGTATTCCCGGATCTTGCGGCTTCAGGGAACTTCTTTCGGTTTCCACACAGTGAGATGATTCCGAAATTCTCAGACACCTGCAAATACGAGCTTGCAGGGAACGAGTCTTGACTGGCATTTCGTTTGTTTCTCTGGCTGGCTCCCGCCTCTCCTCACCTTGAACATCCTTAAACCCTCAGCCTTAAACCCTGAACCCTAAACTCTGCCCCGACTCCGATATGATATACTCTCCCCCCTTTCACATTTTTTCAAAGTTGCATTTTGATTCATCCATCAACTCCAAGATAAATAAAAAACTCCCCCGTACTCCCCGATTCCAAAAGTATGGCTCAAGATCAGTGCTCAAGTCCTGTCAAAGGCCTTGAGCGCTGCCCCACCCCCGGTTCAAGCCCGACCAAGGGCTCGGCTCAAGCCCAACGAAGGGCTCGGCTCGGCTCGGTTGCCGAGATGTCTCGGTCGGCAGTCGGCAGGGTTCAATTCCTGCAAACCAGGATTCCAGGATTGGGTTATAGGTGTTGGGAATTTCTCAAGCACCCACAAACGTAAGCCGTAGCAACCAAACCTGGCTTGGGGTAAAGGCGTCGGGGGTGTGCTGGCAGTTGAAGGTGCGGGTTCAATCATAAAGAATACAAGCGACAGGCGCTCCAAGTGGCTCCAAATTTTGTATGATGTGATTTCATCAATTTCCTCAACCCCAACAGCGCTAATCAGCATCTTTGCCTTCAGGTCAGAAGTGTCATATGTGTCGTAATTTTCGTTTCTTGGCGATTCTCGGCTTGGTGATATGTGAGGCGATGCACGTCGGCGTCATCTCTGCTATCTTTGCATGCGTCCTAACAACTATTCGTCTTCATCCGCACCCCGATCATGTTGTTATGGATTTGGATTGATATGCTCCTCGGATGAACGTCTGCTTGAACAGCGCCGTTGAATCATGTCTGCAAATTAATGATCAGTGGCTTGTGGCAGGCTATGCAACGACCTTGCTTTGTGGTTCTTCTATTCGATGATCTGATTATATAGATATGGATTGATCTGCGCCTCCGCTCCTCGGATGAACTTGTGGCCGTGTGGTGTGGTTGAACAGCGAGCACGAGTTTGATGAGATCCGGGGGAACAACCTTGGACATAAGGCCCCGAATCATGCTAGAAGTGCGGACGGCCGGCCGACAGTCCACTCAGTCATGCAGTGCAGCGCAGCTCGATTGGTGCTGAGATGTTGACTACGGTCTGCCGAGCTCTTTTGTCTTTTGTGATGCAGCCAATACTGCGCCAGATTCGCAAGATTCACGTTGGTGTGTGACGGCCAGCAAAAGCCACCTTTCTGTGCGAAGTTGTAGATCCCGAATCCAAGCTCTGTCGATTGACTGGCGTGCGGCCACACAGTTGAATTGGTTGGCCAGCCTTGTACAACTGCAGTTGATGTCGGCTCTTCTTGCCGCTTATCATTGACTGTTAGACGCAGAACTGCAGAACTCCGGTCCCAAAGTCCCAGAGCTCTAGGTCTAGGCTAGGCGGCTCAGGGCCCAGGGGCCCAGGGGCCCAGGGCCCAGGGGTGGTTCACCCGCCAATTGGGCGGCAAGTGTACTGTGTACTGTGTACCTGGGTAGACAGCCGGCGCTTGCAGTGCGGGCTCCTGCCTGGCCAACGATGGATGGTGATGGTGGGGCAAAGGAGGCTCCAAAGGAGGTGGCAGAAGTCGAGCCACCGGCGCCACCGGCGCCACCGGCTGAAGGTCAGATTTCCGTGGCTGCCAGGGCTGCCAGGCCAGCAGAGTAAGAGATTGCAACTGTGTGGAGTTGACAGGAAATGAGATGAAAGCTGCTGTCGAGAGTGATGCAGCTCGAGCAGCAGGCCCATGCCTGGCGAAGTCATGTCTCTGCACTAATTGTGTCTGCTGTTTGCCACAACAACAAAGTTGCCATCAGGACAGCAAGGACCGCTGCAGATGACCGCCCAGTGGGCCCACTGTGCTGAGTGTGGCACAAAGACAGCGTTCAGACCACGTGCGATGCTTGGATCAATTTACGTCCAAATATGGTGAGTCATCACCAAATTGTGCAGTGCATTGATCATCCAGGATCACTCAGCTGTGTACAGATGGCCTCGCAGCGCGCGGACGGCTGCACGAGCAAGCGAAGACGGCTGGCAAACTCCACATCATAGAAAACATGGAGCTCACGAACCCCGAGAAGTACAAGACATACCTCCGCCGCTTTATGGTGGAGTGCCCGGCTCCAGGACGGGGCAAACCAGGGAAGAAGTTCGACTGGGCATCGCTCAGCTTCGAGGAGTCGTCTGGAATCCGGCAGGCCGACCTGCACGAATGCATGGAACTCACAGAGGAAGATTATGTCGAGTACTTTACAAAAAGAGCACCGTCGTACCAGCGTGACTTGGAAAGCATCAAGCCTTAGGTGGCCTTAAGTCTTAAAAGTTAAGCTCCGAGACCGACCCGAGAGTGAGCAGTTCTGAATCTGAGGTTTGTCAGCAGCAGGAGCACGCAACAAATGGAAGATCGACTGGAAGGAGAAGAAGTTAGATCGTGAGCAGCGCGTCGTCTTTGACGAGAACGGGCAAGACTCTGGGAAGAAGGCCTGCAGACTGCAGACTAATGATCATTGTGATTGTGACTCGTGATTTGTTGTGATTCTGTATTCTGTTTGGGATGCATGATTGGTGCTACGGTGCTACTATAGGGAACTGAAAAATCAGCAGCAGTATTATTCCTTTGGTCCTTATAAATAACTTATAGGGCCTAGGGACTAGGGACCTAGGGTTCCTCACAGGGTCACAGTCGCAGCCTCGCAGCCCCACAGTGCGAAGATGTTTCAGAGGCTTTGAAGTGCCAACCGCCGGATGAACCCATCAATCCTGTACATTCAACCTGGACCCCAGAACCTGCGTTTGCGGGGCTCCTTTATGATGGACTTTGTAGACAAGTTTTTCAGAAGGTATGTACTTTGGGGTTGCTCGCCCGTGGTAAACATAGAAGCCTGAATAATTACCAATATTATTCCTTGCTTGTAGGTTCCTTACTATGAGTATCCTTCACAACATTGTTTTTGTGAGTGTCCCCTGAAGCACCAAATGTCTGATGCTGGAGCTTGCAACCTGAGTCGATTTCATTTTGCGGCCGGTTAACTATTGGCCCATTGGTTGGTTGCCGCCCAATCACTGACGCCGACTGGGCAAAAAAAGGCAACGGTCCTGAGCGGAGCGAACG